TCCTCAGTGCCCATCTACCCACACCATCACTCTCGCAATGGTCTCGGTCCAGAAGACCTTCCACAGTCCATCAAAGCAGTGTGCATGCTATACTGCTTCACCATTGGATCTCTCAAGGAGATTAGGAATGACATTCTCGCCGGTAGTTGCCATCTTTTATTTACTGACTCAGTCTCTAGTACGCACCCACGTCCCTTCGGGGCTATACTCATATCATCCAAGGGATGTAGTTTTTGATCTGTTACGCATGCACTTTTAGGAGCGTCTTATCCCCCGCAAGCTTGAGTGATGTTTGTTCTTCGCCTTTTAGATGTGTCGGGCCCTTCTTTGGAGTAGGTTAAGATTGGCACCTGCTCCCACATGCCAACTTCCTAAAAATTAGAACACCTTTTAAGGTAGAAATGGTAAGGTCGCACAACTTGAAGAATTGTGTCGCTGAGCGAGATCGGAGCACCAACTCCCGAATCGTCACTTTAGTCTGGCCTGCCAACTAAGAGATCATTAATCTCCCCCCCCCCCTAACAGTTCAATGTGAGCCTGTTTTGGTCTAAACCATGCTTTTACCTTCAGGAATTTTCTATGTTTGGAACTTGTGCACTATATCCAGCGTCTGTCGCAATCTTCCATCTTTTTGTTTGAGAGTTTTGCTGTATAGTCCCAACATAAAGGCCGCCTCTTTTTCGTTCGTTCTCATATCGCATTTGCACTTCGATTCTGTGAATTTTGACCTCATTGGACGTGACTCCGGTGATACTATCATATTTGTTTTGATTTGTAAAGCTTTTTGCTCTGATGTATTTAAGTACGTCTGAAATTTATTCACAGTTGATGCAAGTTGCATTAACCTACTGTATCCATAATTGACCTCAGCGACGGTGTTGTTGATTGATGTGGTTAGCTTTCCCAAACTTACGAGGACAAGCAATTTCGAGGGAAAAAACGAGGCCTTGCTCCTCGTTGGGATTATAGCGGAGACTAGCACAGCGTGGACCCCGCTCTCTTTTGCTCCATCGGCAAAGCAATGTCCAGGTGACTAGGGATGAGCGTGATCTCTTTGGCTGATCGGGCCACTGGCTCCGATCTATGTGTACCACGCATGTGCGTTGTCCTAAGCCTACCTAAGGTGGACATCATTAACTTGGCTACCATATTGTTGAAAATTACGTATGAGGTGCACCAAATGCAACTTGGGTAAGTTGAGTTTCCTGCGAACGGGAGGTTCCGAGGAAACTCAACTTACCTAACAATTGGCAACTTTTGAAGCCTAAATTCTTCGCGTGCCTTTCTATT